TCGAACCGAAGCTCAGATGCATCTCCGCGAAGACGACCAAATCGAAGCCCGAACGCTTTTCCGCGAAGACGCTCAAATCGAAGTCCTAATATCACTTCTCCGAGACGTTCAGACCGCAATTATTCGCATCCAAAACGCTCACATAAAAATGATGGTTCACCTTCAAGAAACTATAATGATAAACATAAAGCTGTCAAAAGAGAATCTGATTCTCCTCCGCCAACTCACAGCAAAATGGTTAAAACCTTGGACGGAAAAGTGGCGGGTTTACAGGACGCGAAAGCATTGCGGGAAGAAAATGAACAGTTTCGAAAACGTGAAAATGAAATGTTTGAAAAATTACAAGAGAAGCAAAAGTACACAGGTAAGCGTTCATGTAAATTATTATTGGCTTTAACTATAATTTACGAAATATTCAAATTATTCTAATCATATATGAACCTAAACATTTTAGACAGAGATGTGGTTCGTGACCGAAGAACGGGTCGTCACCGACGTTTACATGAGGAAGACAAGAAGGATAGCGAGAAATTGAAGAAGGAAGAAGAGCGAAAACAAATTTATGATCGCTGGGGCAAAGGTCTTAAGCAGATAGAACACTTCAAAGAACAAATGGCATCAGAAAGTCACGAAATGAACAAGCCAATGGCACGATATGCAAATGATGCCGATTTAGAGAACTACCTACGGAGTCAGTGTCGCGATGGAGATCCAATGGCTGCGTATTTCCGTAAAAAGACAAGTGAACTACAGACTGGGCCATGTGAGTTTGATTTATGTTGATTTTCATACCAAAATGATAACATTTTTATTTATATAAATCTGATTCAATATTTGTAGGCAAACCAATTTATCAAAGCTCTTTTCCCGAAAACCGTTTCAACATTCGACCTGGATATCGTTGGGATGGTGTTGATCGATCAAATGGTTATGAAAAGAAATGGTTCGATGTTTTAAATCAGAAGAAAGCCGGCGAAGAAGAAGCATACAAATATAGCGTCGAAGATATGTAAAAATGCAACAAATGTTAGTTCAACGCTAAACTCGATTCCAATAAATAATACTGTTTAATTTTATTCATTCCTTTTTTATGAAATCGTTCTTTTTACGTGCCTTTTTTGTTGCGCATTTCACTTCTGAAACAATTATTATATTATATTGACTACTAGTTAGCCGTCTATTTTGGGACATTTTGACTGGATTGTTGTATGTACCGTGATTGAATTCCAATCAATTTCAAACAACTTTGAACAAATTCAGTTCACCGATTTAGTGTGTATGTGTAATTTATCAACTACGATTGACTATTCCAATCATAGTACGTAAAAATTATACTCAAAATGTCCCAAAATAGTTACCAGTTCAGTAATCACTCACGAACCCTATGGAGAAAAATAATTAGGTGAATAAACTCTAGTCAACATAGTCAAGAAAAATACAAGGGTAGTTTGATATTGATTGTTACAATTTTCCAGGTTCCGAAATAAAACTCGCATCATTGCAATTTATTCTGTTCATTTTGCTGTACAAATGAGACATTTTATTGTTGAATCCATATAACTCAATTTTTTTTTATGATTTTCTGTATAAAATATACCATATAATTCTATAATAATTACAATTCTCAGTAACATCCATTCTCTTTCCACTAATTCTCTTACAAATGTCATTGTCCTCGTCGTCATCCCCGTAAAAAAAAATGCCTAAAATCGATTTTGTTTCCATTTTTCATCAATGTTAAAGCCATCGTTCATTAAAATGTCCAATGCATTTACTAGTTTTTAGCCATGATCATTGCTTTTTTTTCAAAGATTTGAGAGTTGATTTTATTTTGTTTTGTTTTCTTCAATGATAGCACGAATTCTTGTGGCAGTTAATTATCCAGAGTGTTCCATAATAAGTTCAGTTTTTGGCGGAATATGCCAAGACTATGGTACTATGGTAGAATAAGTTGAAGTGGTTTCGTCAATTTGAATTAAATTGAGAGCATTTTTTTTACTTTATTTTAGTTTTGTTTTTGTTTTGATAGTACAGTACATTCATATTTGAAAGCATGCTCGAATGGAGTTAAGGGAATTCTCCAAAAGCTGGACAAGGGTTTGCAATACTTTTTACATTCTATAATAGCATTTTATAAGCCATTTATTTAAACCTCCATGAAAAAGGTTTGCAAATCAATGTAGATTCACTTTATTTGTGCCGCATTTTATTTTGTTATCGCAATCATGGTAATGTTAAAAGTGTCTTCTGGTTGTTGTTGTTGTTGTTTTTTTTTTGTGAACTAACGATGTATGCAATTGGGCGTAGGATTTTTTTTTATATAACTTATTTTGTTTTCCTTAGAAAACCTATTTTCATCAACTTATTTTCATCTGTAAATATATTTACTGTGTGTTTTTGTGTTATATAGAATTTTACTTTTAAAAATGTATTAAACTTCTTTTTTGTTTCCTTTAAATATCTTCATTTTCTACACGAAAAAAAAAATCATTCCCTTTTAATTGACGACGGTGTCTCTGCCAAGCCTTTGACCTTAAGCCGATCGGCTGTTTTTAGGAATGCTGGTAATTGTTCCTGAGACACATTCACTTCACCGGCATACATGAACTCCAAAATTGCCTGCAGATGCGAATAAGAAACGTCTTTCAGGATTATGATTGGATGTTTCGATGGATTTTCCTAAATTTGAAATTGGAAATTAAAAATTAAAATGAATGGTGCCACATTTCGTTTTAGTTATACAGTCGAATCAATTGTCATTTACCTCTAGCAGTGATTTGAAATACGGACTACACGCAGATAAAACCATTTTGTGTGCTTTACACGTTTGTCCTTCGCACGCTAATGTCACCTATTTAATTTAAATTCGAAAGGCCCACAATTTTCAATCCTAATTTTTGCAACAAATTTTGATAATAAAGTAGCACTTACATCTGTAAAGCTTTTCTCATCACGCAAATGACGAAAAGATGTCACCATATTCGTTTGAAAATCATTCCATTTCAAGAAAAACTGCTGGTCGGCCATCTTCAACGAATTTATCTTGCTTTAATGTATGCCTCGTATTGTGTTATAACTGATGTTGAGTTTCCGTGTAATGGACCCAATAACATGCGGCACTCTATTCAATTCAGATTTGTTTTCAAATGCTCTAGAAAGGATAGAACAAAAATGTTTTTTTTTTTTTAATTTATTTCAATAAAACAAAGTGCCAATAATTAAACTCTTTTCATTTTATAAGCCGGTAAATGACATATATACAAAAAACCGAAACTGGTAGAAGAGATAGTAACCAAAATGCACAATCTTTCACAATAATGATCGGGGAGTGTGGATTTACACTTCTCTTAAGACGGATGCACAAATAGATAACGATGAGAAGATTACGAATCTTGGAATTTGCACCTAAATGTTGGGAACGATTCGTGAATAGAAATTAAAGTGCGGATTTGTGTACATGCTAGCTCCCACAATACAAATATTTTATTGAACAGAGATGAGTTTTTTTTGCTGTTGTTTCTCAGGTATGTGTAATGTTGCACAAAACAGCTGCATCCCATTTTTATTAAATCAATTTCTACTTGCGCACAAAGCTTCGCAAAAAACTCCGATTTACTCGAGAGAATAGGAATAGTCCCATATCTCATTGGGTCTGGACATGGTGGAAATCTTTTGTATTTTTGAAAACCATCATTGTGAAACACAATCATTTTTTTAACCAATCTTCAAACGATCCAAACCATTTATAACTTAGGTCATCTGGAGTCAAAGTCACTGTTTGTTTACACAATTCATTAAAATTAAGCAAATGATAAACAAAAAATTTTCCTTAAAAAAAATTGGTTGAAATATTAAAATTTTTCGAATGAAAATCAACTGAAGCTGAACCCTGTCCGATTTCTTTGTTTCAAAAAATTATTGTACAATTAACGATATACGGAAGTGGTACATTCATAAATATGGCCAAAGAAATGTATTTTAAAAAGGCCCTATTCAGTGGAAATGTTGCTAGCGTTTTCTTTTCTTACTTTAGCATCGTTACGTATACTTGACAATGGCTAGAAACTATGCTGCTAGTGAAGATTGCATAAACTGACTGTCAATTCGAAAGTTTAAACTATTAACCTTTTCTCATATTGGCTGTGTGTATGTGTGTTGACGATGGTGCCGTACCTGGTGCAAAATTTCAATGGAAAAGATTGTGCTTCTATGTCTGACTGCTGTGTTATTATTAACACACAGCATTGAAATGTCACTTAACAAAAGAAATGTACCGTCTCAGAAATCGTGAAAGTATAGGAATACGACTGTGAAAAAAAATAATTCACTAATACAATTGGTTGCACAGAATACGCACTTAATCTGTCACTCATGGTATACAGCGAACGAATAAAAAAAATCAAAAGAAAAACGTTGGAAAAAGAGAAAAGGAGGAAAAATAAAATATGTGTATTAAATATATACAACTCTCTCGACTCGCAACACACGAAAATGAAAATCCAACAACAGTAGCAGGCAATTTTCTCTCTCTCTCTCTCTCTCTCTCTCTCTCTCTCTCTTTTTCTACGTTTGGTACAGTTGAATAGTGTGCTTAGTATTCGGAATCGAAACATTCACATGCAAACACCAACACAACTGCACTTCAATCACATTGGATGTTGTCCAAATTTATTGGCGCGTGTAGTATTCGTTGGACACTTAGTATGCATGTGTTTCGAACATTACGATGCCCTCTCTTCATAGCCTAAAAAATGTGCTGGCAATTTTCGAAAACTGTTCCAGGGGTGCAACACTGCACATAATAAGTTGCATGTGTGTACTATGCTATGTTATGTTATATTATACTAGAACTAACATTTCTTGTAGTGTGTGTATACATATATTGCACTGCTTTGCATTACGTTGTCTTCCGTTCTCTTTTTTTTGCTATGGTTTACTCTTTTATTTATCATTGTTTTTGGTCTGACAAACGTTCGTCTGATTTGGGACTTTTGTTTTGCTTTACCATTTTATAACTCAATGTTCCAGCAATGCGATTTACACGGTATTGAATGTATCGTCTAAGCGTCGTAATCACACGACAAACATGAATAGAGAATGGAAAGTTTACAGCGATTGTCGTCGAGAATGTGTAAAAACGAGAAGGATAGACGCCGAATAGACACTGAAGAAAAATCGCACCGTGTCTATTTCATTGTTTTACAGTTTTATAATTTTCGCATCATACACACCAATTTATTTTCGTCGACTGGAAGTGTTCTCGTGTTACTTTTCTTTTCTTTTTTTTCTTGCATTCGCCGCTCTCACTTCATCCAACATTCATTTGTTTAGTTTGTCATTTCTAAAATTTTATGCATACACATGTACATGTATATGTGTACACATGTAATACTATAGTTTTACATGTGTATGGGTGCGTTTATTTATTCCTCCATAACGCTTTTTCGATATTTTTACTATTATTTTTTGCTAGTTTTACCATGTTAAAAATGTTTCAAATGATGAATCTATGCTATGGCACTTGAAATGTTTTCTTCAATCTATTCTTTCTTTTTCAATTCTGATTTTCTTTATGAAGACTGTTGTTTGTGTTGCTGATCCTCCTGCTGATTCTGATATGGCGACTCACTTGTTTCTGATCAGTGGAAATAGAGAATGGAATCTATAAATTATTTCGACATGTCCTTATTTTTCTTATAAATCAAATTCAATGCATCCAGAACTATTTTTTTGTCTGCATTTTTTATTCGAGTTGAAGTTTCGAAGGAAAAAAAATTAAATTGAAATGTATTCTTATTAATTATTAACGTATCGCCGAGTATTCGGTCGATTGAAGCAATTCCCTTTTTTTCATATTAAGGTATTGATGTTTAAATATTGAATGTTGTTCCATATAAAAACACATTGATTTCTTGGTAATGAAGAATAGTGCTTTAATTCCAATCTATTGGATTAAACGAAACTACACTCTGTCGCTAGTCCACAACTTGAACAAAACATTAGAAAATATTCTTCAGAAAAGTTACGGATATAATCTTCAAACAGCTTTGGTTTTTTTTCTTCTTATGACGGCTTACCTTTAATGCCAAACACAGTAATATGCAAGTATATACAGTGTTGGATAGACACGTTGGAATGAATTATTAAATGGTGTGTATGCTATTAAATGAATATGGTTAATTGTCAAAAACGAAAGGAAAAAACAAATATATTTTTGTTCGGACCAATTTAAAGTTTTGCGGAGAGAACTCTTTGAATTTATAATAATACAAAATGAAAAAGAGCAAACATTTCACTGAACACATTAAGAAAAACAAGACACTCACACACAAATTGTTATCTCATGCCAGTTGTCCCGCGTTTGGTTCGAGTTTAGTTTGCACTCATAAAAATACACAAGCAAATTTTCTTCTTTCGTTCTCTTTCTTTTTTTTTATTTTAACTTATTGCCCGTTGTATCCATTTATCTAACAGTGTTTGTGTTGCTTGCTTCTTCTTTTCACTGCGTTTGCCTGTCTCTGCTATTACTTCAATTTGTGCACACAACGTGCATACATACATACATACATACCATCCAATACATGGACGTGTACATACACACTCGCATAAATACGTACACAGCCACACACGTATTCACACCACAACGAATTTTGTGAATTTATAATTTGTGGATAGCTTTGTTAAAAGTTAGAAACGATATGAAATGAAACGTTTTGAAATTCTACAATCTTCTATACATACAAAGCGCGTTGAAAGGAAGGAAAGTACGAGGAGGGGCCAACAGTGTGAATCCATACAACAAAGCACAAAATATGTATGGGCTGATGAGCACCGTATCAGAAAATTCAGGTTAATTTAAAAAGATATGATCGAAAATGATTGGAAAACGGCGTTAATTGCGCAAATTTTAGAAAATTTGTATTTAATTTGAAATGGTATTGATCTGAAAATAGTAACATTCACTTGTTATAGTTTTCGTCATAAAAATAAAATCAGACGCTGTTGAAGAAACAAATGGTCAGCATAAATTATAAAGGTGTCAGCATTTAAGGGAAAGTACAATCGGCAGTTCATTAAAAAAACGCACACAACTCAAAAAAACTCAATATCTCTACAAATTGTCAAACAATTTGGAGAAAAATGCTGCAGCAGCTATTGTGAAAATACTATTCATTTCAAATTCATCTGATTGTAGATTGTTTGAAGAAATTCAAAACAGATGGCGAAACTGATTCGAATCAATTGTAAAAATGGCTTTTTTTGAACTTTTATTGAATGATGATAAAATATTTCATTGATTTCTACAATCTATTGGCAACATACTCAAAAATCGCCGAGCAAACTAATAATATTGATTTATTATTATCACACTTGAGAGTGAATGGCTTTGAACGCATCCAGTTATACGTACGAATGTATTAACAGTTTTGACATTTTACTTTTAAGTACATTGTGCGCCGAAAATTTGGTTCATTATACAAACCAAATGTATTTGCGATACCCGGTATTTTCAACAAGCAGAAACACCGACATAATAAATAGTCAAAAAAAAGTATTCGCTCAGTGTATACACTAAACACAAAAATACTAAAGGACGAATTGAAATCTCAAGTGAAATGCAAGAATTAATCGAATCTTTAAATAGTATTGGGTAAACAACATAAGCTGCATATTTCATAATGTTTGAGAAAAAAAAAGAATTACCCAATCGTGTCAAACAGTATATTACTGTAGGAGGATTGTATTGATATATATAAATATTTAGGATATGGAAAATACATTCAACTGTGACCAAACCATTTTTATTTCACAACACAATTTATAATTTTTCGATGAGTTTCATTTTTGCAAACAAGTTCGATTCACATAGATTTCTCTTTTCAAAGCTATGAAGGTGACTGCCTCCAAGCAGCCAAAATTGAGGAGATATTAGACAATGGGACGACATCAACACAATTTCGGAATCTTATTTCTTGGATAACTGGCGAAATAAGTGTTTTGCTGAATCTGGATGAACAGGTATATCTGTGATACTGAATGGATTGGATCATCAATAATTTGGTATTTTTTTATCCTATTGGATTAATATTTAATCCCGTTGTAGTACTTACAGTAGATCATATTTTGTTTCCTTGTGCTATTTCGCACCACGGTCAAGGCTTTATATTCCCAAGTTTTTCCCAGTCAATGCACATGAGATTGATTGTCATACACTTGAGTCACAGTGCCATTTCTGGCGTTTTTTGTTAATTATTTGATTTTTTCAAGTGCGTTAAGCTTTGGTTAGTTTGATTTTTGTACAGATAATAACAAAGTTAGATACTCAAAGCTAGGCAAATGTGCCGAATTCACTTGTAGATTTTATGTAGATTCGTGCAGAGTTCTTCAGAAATATCTTCAATATTCGGCCCTGTTGATTACTCTTCTTTGACATTTTGGTGCAAACCGAAGAAATATGCCATTCGTGGGGGCTGCACCTTGCCAAAGACATCTCTGATAATCAGAGTCTGATTTATGGGCAGTGCTAAGAATAAACACAAACGTGATGACGAAGTCTAACCAACTCGTTTATTGCGTAATGCTGGAAGAAAATCCTTCCAATAAGATTCATATTGCGTTTCAAAAAACTTTCATTTCCAATTTCCAAACTTGGGGTACTCAGCTTCGGTCTCATGATGGCACCAAATGGCTGCTTCTGCTGATGTTATTTTTTTTTTTGTTTTTCACTCTTTAAACTATCAAAATCAGGTGAAGAATGTTATAGGGATTTTTCCTGTTTCCAACACCATTATAAATCAATAAAAATAAAATAAAAATAAAAATACAAAAAAAATACAAACATTCTAACTTCAAATTTAATATCTCATTTAGATACATCCAGATAGTGAATCAACGGAATTCGTTTTGGAATTGTCGAGTTTGTTGAAAGAACTAAGTTGTCCATATTCGGTATTGATCAGCGGGCCAACAGCGCAGCGATTTCAATCAAAACAGGATCGTTTATTGTTACTTAATTATCTTATCAGTGAACTAATGGCAGCGAAAATGTGCCATAAGCTGAACCCACATAAGAAAGTGGTGATCGAAATTGTGAGTAATATTATTAGCATTAGCATCAACATGCTCACAATCGAACTTATTTTGGATTTCAATTTTTTCGTTAAAATTAAGTTGGAAAGCGCACCAGCGATTGCATTGAAGTCTGTAACTCAAAATCTTAGTTTGGGTAAACCACCACCAAATATTACACCAAAGGTTTTCTTCGAAAAACTGCTTGGGAAATTTTCGGAAATTTTCAAGAAAAATGGTGAGATTCGATCGTTTCAAATTCACTTTCGACATATTTATTTGTTGCCAACGTTTTCTGGTTGAGCGCATTATCTAAAACTCTGTGAAATGAATGAAACCTATTTTTGTTTCAAATTTAGAACAATTATGGGGAAAAACGCTTTTCGCGCCGAGCAGATCATTAACCTTTGAAGAGTGGAAAAAGTTAGAAAAGCTGCAAAACGAATTGGATAATGAGTACGATTTGAGACGAGAAATGTTACTTACACGATTAGATGTCACTATTCAATCGTTTCAATGGTCTGACGCGGCGAAAAATAAGGGTAACGTCATAGCGGAATGCTATTCGAATAAACGCCAGGAACTGGACCAGATTCTGCACCGTAACAAAACGACCGATATTATTGAATTGTTAGCAGCTCGTGATGACATTTTGCACGTCGAAAAAACTAGTTCAGCCAATGTGCGGAAAAATACGCAGAGTGATATTCAAAAGCATATTATTGGCATGGTACCAGATCGTGGTGGCCGTGCGAATGAGCATCAACCACCACCACCGGAAATGCCAACTTGGCAAAAAAATCGAAGTCAAGGCGGTCAGGGCAACCAAGGTGGAGGAGTAAGTGGCACCGTTTTAACTTTACATTTTAACTCTCTTTCACTGAAAGCAATACCTTTCACCTCTCCATTTTTTCATTTTACACAGAATCGGGGTTTTAATTACAAAGGACAAAACCCGCAGCAACAAAGAAATTACCAACAAAGTTACCAGCAGCAGGGAAATTATTCTGGAAACAATTACAAACATCCAAATACTGGCTCAGGCGACGCGAACTATTATAATAATCGAGGTGGGGGTAATAATCGAGTGCAAGGGGGATGGTCTCAATCAGGTTGGAACAAATTATTGGCAAATTTATTGTATAGTCACAATTACTGAATGAATTTTGATGCTTAAGCATAATCAACCAAGTCCTAGTTGATGCATGTACATTTGATAAAATTTCTCTTCTTTACGATCAGGTGGAGGCAATCAGTCCAATGAAAACTATCGCAATTATGGCCAAAATCAGCATCGAACTGAAAACTATTACGGTTCAAGTGGAAATCAGAACGCTGGAGCTGGTAGAGGCAATTACTATGGACAAAATCAAAGTCAGGATTACAATCGCAAGGGCGATGGCTACAACAGAGGTCAATCGAATTACAATCGGGGAGGACGACGCTAAATATTTCAATAAAATTGAATACAACTGCATTAATGTTAAGCAACTGAAAAATTCAGCGCAAAGATTTTTATTCACGCATTTTTTATGATAATTTTTTTAAAAAAATAATACTAGTTTAAATAAACATTTCCAAGATACTTGATTATACATATGTACTATTTTAATATTAAATGCATTTCGCCTCCATCCTAAATTACTGTTGCCGAATTTTCTCCAATTCCTCTTTGGCTCTTTTGATCATGCAATCCCGCCATTCTTCATATGACTGAATTTCAGGCTCGACTTGAACGGTATTTTTGTCGCTATTATTCTGATCTTTGCGTGGAATGCTGATTTCCGGGACATTTTTCGTTTTGTTTGTTCTACCATTTTCTTTTGCTGGAGCAGCATCCAATGTTGACTTTTTCCCCAAATCAAGCAACTTTTCAAACAATCCTTTTTGCTTACCATACTCCTTTTTCTTCAGTCCTGACAATTGAATAGCAACTTCGGTTTGAAATTCAGAATTGCACGAAGATGCTGCACAATCAATACTAAGTACTATCTTTACAGTCTCGTTCGATGTGCACTTTTTCATTCCAATCAAACGAAGGTATTCCTTTGATTTTCTACGAAACAAAACCATAAAAATTATTTGCATGCATTGGTAGAAAGAATGGAATTTTCTTATACTCACTCAATTACGTCGTCATCAAGAACGCCAACACGTTGACAGTATTCGATTAACAATTTCTCGCTCATTTTGTTCGATTATAAATACCGTGGAAATCGGCTGTAACAAATTATATTTTGGACAATTATTTATTCGAATGTTTTGAACGAAATGAATATTTGTTTATGTTTAGCTGTCAGGTTTTAGCGCCAAATTCCATTTTCAACACATAGGTAGATTTTTCTTTCTCGCAAATTCTAACCAGCACAATACAGCAAACCAACGCCATCTATGTACTCAATTTTGATACAGTGAAAGATATTAGGAAATCTTTTCCTTAAAAAAATCCATTGAAAATGAACACGAGAGAATTTCATAGAAAAACACATATATATTCGAAGCGTTTAAAGCTAATTAGTATTACATTGACGGTTTCAATTACAGCAAAAAATCATCATGTTGAGCCCACAAAATAAAGTGGAGCCGTCCAAGCACCTCCAAACTGATAATTTTGAAATTTCTAATATGGTCATGCAAGATGACACAAAAAATAATAGGTTGAATGAAGGACAAAAACGGTAGTATAGTTTTTAGTAATCAATTTAGTAAAAAATGCAACTACAACGATATCAGGGGACGTTGTGAAGTTTATTTTCAACTGAGTCTAGGCGCTTCATCAAAAGTTTGTATCCTGCAAGTGTGTGCAGTATGTAATGTGTTCTGCACGAGAGCCGATGACGCAGTCGTTATTGATGTATTTAGAATAATCTACGTAATGCATATCTGACACTACTTTGGACGCAAAATAGTGTGGATTAGTATAGTAGCGCGTGAAGTCGCTTAACATCAATTATAGTATCAAATAACAATGCAGTGTAAGAATTGTATAATCCCATCATTCGACACCAAAAACTATAAGTGTTCCATAAGAAAATCAATTTTTTTTAATCGTCACAATATATTTATAGAGAAAAGAAATGATCACATTACAAATCTGTCTATAACCAAATCCGGACTTATCAAAGATGTGTTTATTACTAAGAAAAACATGTTTTTCGCTTCATTTCTAAGACTAAAGAGTTAAAATCATTATTGTGTATTCGCACTTCGTTCGCATGTGGTACATGTAACTTGGTAGCGGATCGTATAATATGTAAGTTCGATAAGCAGCTCCAAAATGTATCAAAATACCTGTATTCTCCTATGCTCAGACCTTTGGTCGATCTACTGCATACTAAAGTTTCGAGAACATACATTGTCCAAAATACTTGAAAGAAGCTTCTTGACAAATTGAATTTGGGGGGTATAACTCGTAAATTTCTTGAAATACTAAGGAAAAAGTCGATGAAACATGCCACACGGAAAATAAACACACACACATCCTGAATATTACAATAGCATTAACATACTTCTATCGTAATCTGCGAGATGAACCCTTTTATTTGGTCAGTTCAAAACATGATATGAAAAAAGTAATTTTATTTGCTATGGTTGTCGGCATCATACTTGCATCGCTCTATATTTCCACTTACTCCTTATTTATTTAGGAAGTAAAACCAAAAACTGTAGCTTAAAGTCTCTACTTACAGTCCTCTCTATAATTTGGATTAAGCAAATATATTCGAAAGGTATATAGACGTGTACTGTGTTTGAGCGCTCCCTTTCTTTGACATGCACCGAAGATATCACCCGTCAGTATCTGTGAATTTGCGCTTTGCTTATATTGATAATCATATTCCGAAATCCCTATTCCTTTCAAATCAAATTTTCGGCAAAAAATCTTTTGACAGCGTCTAAACGTGCATCGCACCGACCCAAGCAATCCAATTTTCTTTCATAATTTCTATGTTTTGCAATTAAGCAAAATTCTCCGATGGTTCTATAATGCGAGCCTGTCCATTGCAGATCTGTTGAACCGGTGTGAAGTTATTATGTTCAATTACAAATGGGAATATGATATGGAACCTCGATTATCCGGCACTCAATTAACCGGCCACACTCTCAGGAAATTATTTTTTTTACAAATACATTTTGCAGAAAGCAAAATTGAATATGGAGATAACTAACTGAACAAACAAAATCATGCTTCTACATGCGCGTTATATTTTGCTTGTTATCAGTTTGCAGTCGCATTTCAATTTCAGATTGAGTTTATTTACATCACTTAGAATTTTATAAACAACACTTTTCAATAAAATGTTTGGTCGGCACTTTGATTTCTTTGCTCGCGACAAATGTCTGCATATTTTGTCGGTAAATGTCGCAACCCGATTTCAAACTGAGTTATTTACATTACTCAGACCATTATAAACAATATTTTTCATTGGAATTGTTATTGGTCGACACAACTATGACGATTCAGAAGCTTCGCAACAAAGAAAGCAGAAACGATTGCAGTTAAGCAAACCAAAATGACCGAATTCTTTTCGCGAATGACAGTAGATTAAAAATAACGAAATTTAACTTCAAAATATTCACATTTGTTCTCAAATAAATCGCTACATTTAAACTTCTTTATATTTTGAATAAAAACGCCTTTTATAGTGTAACTTTACTTCAAATGTAATAGGTTTTAGACTTCTTTCAATTGGTTTTTGTCCATTAACACTATGATTGTTCTTGGGGCACCCAGGGCCCCAGCGAACTTTAAAGTTGAATAAAAGTACTAAACTGTGTATAAACCAACCGGAGTTAAGTCTCATTGTATAGATTGAACATTTCTCTACACGAATGAAAAAAAAAACATATGCATATGTGTGAGTATGTGTAAAATACAGCCTGCCGCAAAACATGTTACGCTGTTGTCCTTGGGGGACTCCAGGGCCCCATGGCAATTTTATATTATAACTGGACTATGATAAGAGATATCGACTTAGTGTCTATGACGAAGTTGCTCTTCAACTTTGCCGAAGACACCATGTCGCTATCTCTTATCAGTTTCGCGGAATACGCGAGAAACCGCAGAAAACCGCGAAAAAACGCGTTTTTTTCCCTTATCATTTTCCACGGAACTGATAAGAGATAACGAGATGGTGTCTAGGGCAAAGTTGTAGTTCTGGTCGAGTACTACAATTATTCTGATTCATTATTCCGTTATCTTCTATCAATTACGCGGGAAACCGCAAAGAACCGCGAAAAAACGCGTTTTTTCCTTATCATTTTTTCACGGAAATGATTCATAACGGTTTTGCTTATGGCGCTGGTAGCACTGCGAACTTATTTTTTTGCTCAACATCAACCGACTGAAATGGTACCTAGCGGATATGCTGGCCCTTTGAATTTTATCTCAAAATCCGCAATGGTCTTTGGAGTATTACGAGTAGTTTTTTCTTCTTTATTCGGAAAATGGTTGAAGTATTAGTTTGGAGTATTACTAAATTGGCAAGAGTATCTCACTATTTTATGACATATTTTTGCCACTAAACCCCTTCTTAATGTTTACATATATTTCGGATGCAGACCGACCAGTTTTGTTCGGTTTTCGTTTCACAAACGGAACCAATTCTGTAGGTGCTGATGATACTGCTCGTAATAATATAGCGTATATATTTGCAAAGACATTTAACCGCATTCTTTTTCCATATTTTGAATGGTTGAGGCGAAGGAAAAAAAAAGAGATATGGTCGATAATAACAATACCTTTGGGCTAAATACAATAAACCTATTGTAGTGATAACTGTTTTTTATTTAAATTTAAATGATGTCCTCATTTTTTTGCAATATTTAATTGCAACATTTTGAGCCAACTGTCGAACTGCACGGTATATAATGAATAGAATTTTCAATTCAAAAAAAGTATCTGTTGTTGTATTTTTTGTCAAATCATATCTTGTGAGAGCAGAATTACTTTTGTGCCCTTGTTGACAAGCAGAAAATGCAACTTTGCGTTTCTCTCTCTTTGTGCATTGCGTTTCTCTCTCTCTCTCTCTCTCTCTCTCTCTCAGGGAATGTGGGAAAAACGTAAGAAAACTTGGTCTTCGGGCATGCAGTACTTTAATCACACGTTAAATTTTCCCTGAGGCTATATTACGTCGTTCGCTTTCATTATTATCAGTAGTTATATTATTAAAATGACTCATAGCCAAAACTGAAAGCACAAAGATGACGGGTTGGACATTCGATTCGTTTTCAAATGAAATTGAAAATAAAAAATAAAAAAATCGACAAGTGGTAGTTAATGGTTTAAAGTAAAATAATTGCAGCTATTCCATTGCATTACATTCATCTTTGCACAGTTAAAATTTCGTTGAAGGTATTTGAGTAATGTATTATCTATAATATAATATAATATTCATTGGCATAATTTAAAATATTCCAAGAAGAAAACTCTGGCCAGTTTTTATGTTCTACTGCTAGATGTTTCCTAGGTCTTTGAAGTTATTTTAATTATGCGTAATTCAATTGGTGATTAGTATTCAAGAGTTGTCGGAAATCAAATGGTTAAAATTGTCATAGAAAAACTCTTCACTGGGTATGGAAGCGTAAATTCCCCTTTTTACCTTCGAACATTTTTACAAATTGGTATTAAAATTGTTTTTTTTTATCGTCACATGAGATGTACATTTTTACCTGCAGGGTTCGAATTTGACTCTTTGTATCCAAATCTCGTTTTAGTTTCTATATTTTATCATTCCCTGTAGCCAACTGCAACAAAGATGTCTATAAAATGTATTACAAATAGGAATAAATAAGAGTTTTGTACATTTTTTGTAACTTTTGATTCTCGACCGAATTAAATTACGTGCCTTGACATAGTATTTTTGTCCAAAGATACTTCACTTATTGTACAAAATTTGTATTGAGAATACGGCAATTTAACCACATTTTCGGAAAGAGCTGATGCCAGAACATCTGACCGACTCGTTCTGTGGTTTTTTGCATTGTGTATTGTGAGTAACACCCGAATGCATAGTCAAATTCATTCATTTTTCTTCCAAATAATTGAATTCTCTGCATTGCATAGGAAAGTGGAAACATCTAGATTTATTTCGCAATTTGGAATTGTAGCTCCATTTAGCATTGATTCATTGAGTATAATTTGAATTTTTTCGCGAAATTTCTTCGAAATTTTTTTATTCATGATACAATTCAGTTAGCTGAATCTGGTGAAACACGGTGCGATTGGTTTTCGTGCACAAGTTTTGATCCATAATTTCATGAAGACGTCAGTTTGTATTTGTAATTTCCATGCTGAACGGGTTTTTATCACAAG